GTGCTGGCAGCCCCCGTGGGTGCCGGGAGGCCCTTTGGGGACGGGCAGGGCGGTGCTGGGCGCGCCCACGGGTGCAGGGGGCACTGACAGCCCCCACGGGTGTCCGGGAGCCCCGGGGAGTGCTGGCAGCCCACGCGGGTGCGGGCGATTCCAGCAGCCCCCCTGGGTGCCCGGGGGTGCGGAGGGGTGCCCGGTGCCTGTGTGGGTGCAGCTCGCATGGGTGCTCTGTCGAGAGAGCCATTGCTTTAGTAGCAAAGGTGTCAGGACGTGTGTCAGCAAGCGGTGACAACTTTTGTGTGCCATTCCCTTAGCGAGGGCTGTTCCGAGGGCTGTTATCTGCTGTACGTGCGACGCCAGGGCCTGCTCTCCAGGTGCTCGGCGAGTTGCATCATGTTTTTGATTTCTGGGATGGAGGATGACTCTAAAGGACAAGCTGCCGTGTGCAGTTCTGCTTCCCTAGACGCCTCACTTGCCATAGGGAAGTTGCTCGTGTGCATAGGCAAAAGCTGCATGTGAAAGTGGCCATAGGGTCACGGCTACAGTGGAAAATGAATGTGGATGTTCCTGTCTTTGCTCCTTGTAAATGAGGGGGAAATTATTTAGTGGGTTTTGCTCTGGTTTGGAATATTTGCTGTATGGAGGGGACGAGTTCTGCAGCTTCTTGTTGATTGCGGGGGAGCGGAGCGCTTGTTCCCTGCTGCTATGCAACCTTTAATCCAGAAACAAAGCAGGCAAGTCACAAGCATCACATTTCCCTGGGTCTTCAAAGCAAAAAGCAGCCAAGCTTGCTCGCAGGAAAAAAAATAATGAGGGGGGATGTTCAAGCAGACTAAAGTAACAGTGTTGTGTTGTATCTAGGGAATATCGTTCTGGAGTCCTTCAAGTAACAGGGCGAGTGTCCAGCGCCGCCGTGGGCAGAGCCGCTGCTGGGCAGTTCCTCGTCTCGGAGTCTGTTGCTGCGCTGCCTCTTCGCTGCGTTGCCTTCTGCTCCCTGCCTGTGTTATTAGTGACACACACCAGCGTTTGTAGCTAAAAGGGGCACTTCAGTTTTCCTGCTCTGGAAGGAGGCAGTGAATGTGAGTGTGGCGGAGGGAAGGTTTGGGGGCAGACGAGCGGGCAGGGACAGGGTGAGCCCTGCCCGTAGCAGCGGGGCTTTTGGTGGCCCGCTTGGTGGCTGGGCTGCAGCTGGGGACGACACCTGAGCCGCTCAGCGTGGCCTGAGGACCATCTCGCCCTGTGCAGAGGCCTTTTGGGTAGGGGGTCTGCACCCTGCCCCAAGCTGCCACCTCAGGAGCCCTTCCCGGCCGGCTGCTCGTCCTGGGCGCCGTTCAAGGCCTCCCGGCGCCGCTGCCGTCCCCGCAGGCCCCGTCCGTCACTCGTGACGAGTCGCTTCTGTGTTTAAACTAAAGCCGTGGCTCTTCCCAGCGTGGCTGCCTCGCCTTGAATGTGGCCAAGCTTGTTCTGGGCGCGATCGCGCGGCCAGGCTGCGAGCTACGAGGTTTGCCCGAGTGATTTATGCGCTGTCAGCGGCGCGAGCGCGGCTGCCAGCATCCCCGCTCGCCGTGTGCCGGGGTTGCGTAGCGCCATCCTTGCCCGGCTTTCTGCTTCGGGGCTTAGCCGTTGCCGCAGGAAATAACGCGGCCTCGCTGCGTGTTGCTACAGCCCGTTTGTAACCGCTGCGGCGCGGTGCGGCTCCATGGATCTGGAGCAAGCGCCGGCTCTGGATTGAGCAAGCGCTGTTGCTCCCTGCTTTGCTTTGCTGGCAGGGCTGGGCCTCGTCAACCGCTGCGGCTGTTCCCGATGTTGCGTGTTGCATCCGGGCTGTCGGAGCGGGGGGGCGGGGGGGGCGGGGGCGGGTGG